CCGGGGAGTGACCGGGGGTGACCGGGGAGTGACCAGGAGTGACAGGGGAGTGACCGGGGGGTGACCGGGGAGTGACCAGGAGTGACCGGGGAGTGACCAGGAAGTGACCAGGGGTGACCAGGAGTGACAGGGGAGTGACCAAGGGGTGACTGGGGAGTGACCGGGGGTGACCAAGGGGTGACTGGGGAGTGACCAAGGGGGGACCGGGCAGTGACCGGGGGGTGACCTGGGGTGACCAAGGGGTGACTGGGCAGTGACCGGGGGGTCACTGGGGAGCCCCGGCCTGAGCTGGGAGGGGTCAGAGGTCACCGGTCGGTACCGGGACAGGGGTCAGAGGTCACCGGTCGGTACCGGGACAGGGGTCAGAGGTCGCCGGTCGGTACCGGGACAGGGATCCGGGGCACCGGGGCTCGCTGCTCCGTATCTGGAGAGGCCCCGGTGTGGTCGCTGGGCCCTACCCGGGACCGGCTGCCCCCGGTTTGGGGTCACCGGGCTCTACCGGGACCGGCCCCCGCCCCAGTCTGCGCTCCGTGTTCCGTACCGGGGTTCCCGGGCTGTGCTGGGATCTACCGGGGCTGTACCGGGCTGTACCGGGATCTACCGGGATCTACCGGGGCTGTACCGGGGCTGTACCGGGCTGTACCGGCCTATACCGGACAGGCTGTACCGGACAGGCTGTACCGGGATGTACCCGTGGCTGTACCTGGGCCTGTACCGGACAGGCTGTACCGGACAGGCTGTACCCGGGCCAGTACCGAACGGGCTGTACCGGGTTGTACCCGTGGCTATACTCGGGCCTGTATCGGCCTCTACCGAGATCGCCCCCGCGCGCGCCCCCCGGTCCCCACCGACCTTTTCCGGCTGCGCTCCTCAGGCCCCGCCTCTTCCGGCCGTCACCGCGAGCTGATTGGTCCAGCCGCGGCGAGGGGGCGGAGCTTTGGCGACCCCTGGCGGCGCCCCAGCGCAGTGACTTACGGCGGCCCATAGCAACGGGAGCTCCATAGCAACGGGGGTCCGAAGCAACGCGTTTCCATAGCAACGGGGTCCACAGCATCGGGGTGCCCCATAGCGATGGGCTCCATGGCAACAGAGTTCATCGCGTCCGTCTCCATAGCAACCAAACTTAAAACCAATGGGGTCCATAGCGACGGGGGGCTCATGGTGACGGCGGTCTGTAGAAACAGGGCTCCATAGCAACGGACTCCATAGCAACGTGATTCCATAGCAACGGGACTCCATAGCAACCGGACTCCATAGCAACGGGACTCCATAGCAACCGGACTCCATAGCAACGGGACTCCATAGCAACCGGCTGCTCCCCTAACCCTCCCCCCCCCATGTCTCACCACCGTCACCCTGTGTCCCCATTGCTGTCCCCATCACCCCGTGTCCCCATGGAGGTGACAGTGTCCCCATGGCTGTCCCCACCACTGTCCCCATGGGGGTGACAATGTCCCCATCACCACTGTCCCCATTACCCAGTGTCCCTGTAGAGGTGGAAGTGTCCCCACCACTCACCCTATGTCCTCATGGTGGTGGCAGTGTCCCCACGGCTGTCCCCACTGCTGTCCCCACCACTCACCCCATATCCCCATGGGGGTGACAATGTCCCCATGGCTGTCCCCATCACTGTCCCCATGGGGGTGACAATGTCCCCATGGCTGTCCCCATCACTGTCCCCATGGGGGTGACAATGTCCCCACTGCTGTCCCCATCACCCCATGTCCCCATGGGGGTGACAATGTCCCCACCACTGTCCCCATGTGGGTGGCAGTGTCCCCATGGCTGTCCCCACCACTGTCCCCATGGGGGTGACAATGTCCCCATCACCGCTGTCCCCATTACCCCATTACCCCATGTCCCCATGCGGGTAGCAGTGTCCCCACCGCTCACCCCGTGTTCCCATGGAGGTGGCAGTGTCCCCACTGCTGTCCCCACCACTGTCCCCATAGGGGTGACAGTGTCCCCATCACTGCTGTCCCCATCACCCCATGTCCCCATGGAGGTGGCAGTGTCCCCACCGCTGTCCCCATCACCCCGTGTCCCCATGGGGGTGGCACTGTCCCCACCACCCCGTGTCCCCATGGGGGTGGCACTGTCCCCACCACCCCGTGTCCCCATGGGGGTGGCACTGTCCCCACCACCCCGTGTCCCCATGGGGGTGGCACTGTCCCCACCACCCCGTGTCCCCATGGGGGTGGCACTGTCCCCACCACCCCGTGTCCCCATGGGGGTGGCACTGTCCCCACCACCCCGTGTCCCCATGGGGGTGGCACTGTCCCCACCGCTGTCCCCATGGGGACACGGGGTGGTGGCAGTGTCCCCACGGCTGTCCCCATCACCCCGTGTCCCCCTGCAGGCTGCCGGTGTCCTCAGCCCCATCCCTGTCACTCAGCCGCCACCATCCCCCAGCCCCAGCAGGTGCCACCGCGGTGGCCTCTGATCAGCCCCTGCAGGCGGCCACCGCCTCATCACAGGGCCCCGCTGCGGTGGTGGCACTAACGAAGCCACCGCGGTGCCACCGCCGTGTCCCCACGGCCGCGTCTGCCCCCGGCCCTGCCCGGCTACCGCCCACGGGGACACGGCGGGGGACACGGGGGACACGG